GACCACCAGGGGCAGGCCTCAGCAAAACGACAAGGGAAGTTTAAAAAGGTACTGGATGAGCTAGAAACACTGTACAACAGAGCGTCCACTGCTCTCCTACCATCTGGAAATGGCTTACTCTTTGCCTTAAGCTAGGATTTGTTACTTCTGCTTTATCATTTCAAAGCATGTCAGTATTTCTGTTCTTTGATGAATTGTTCGACAGAGTAGTTAGTTTTCTGGTGGTCAATACAATTATCTTTTTAGTTATAATTGAAACTTTTATAACTGGGTATTTTTTCCTTAATTTAAAAATCAGTGAAACGGGAGGATTTTGGTGCTTTAAGTTAGCAGAGGGTGAGAATTTGGGATATGATGATGGATTATGTTGAAGGTTGAATGACTTTATTTCGACTGAGCTGGTTTGTTTGTTTGTTTGTTTTGTGCGCGCGTGTGTGTGTGTGTGTGTGTGTGTACATTTATGCAGGATGTCGTTCCCGTCTTCTACCACTTAATTCCTGCTCCCAACAAAACAAAGAATGGAGGGAAGGAGAAGGACAAGGAAGGAGAGAAGGAGAAGGACGTTAAGGATGAGTTTGCAGAAGCTATGAGGGATCTGAAGATTCAGTGGATGACCAAGTGTGTGCACTTTCTCATCTCTTATGTCCGCCAACGCTTCAACTCGGCTTCATTTCTCGCTCATCCGTGTGTCACCTTTTACTGTTCAGGTTAGATTCCAGCGCTGTTTATGACGAACTGATGGAAAACTACGCCGACTACCTGGCACTGCATGTGCAAAGGCTCCACCAGCTGGACTCGGAAAAGGTGAAAGAGGAACGGGGAATGTGCCAGGAGTCGTGGGACGGAGTTTAAACTGTGCGACCTTGTTGACTCACAGTCATTTTTTTCTTTTGTTTACGTTTAAGGAGCGTGTGAAACGCCTCAAGGAGGTGGTGTCAGCAGCAGACCTCGTCATCTCCCGCATCGACCAGACAGCCTTGGCTGTTTACCTCACCATGAAGACGGACCCACGGCCGGACGCCGCTTCTATCAAGAGGTATGTTGCTCCAAGGAGCAGCGTTAACACCACAAACTAGTTTTAGTAAATATTTCAGTCTAGCTTAAGCATGAACCCCTGAGAAGGTGTTCCACACATAACAAATTTTATTAGTTTAGTTTGTTTTTGGCAGCTCAAACAAGAGCTCAACTCTTCAATCCATTGAAAACCTACTAGAAAAAAACCCTTGATGTTGTTTTGTGACCTGGCTCATATTTTTCTGCAAACTCCAGGCATTCTGTTCTATAAACAGGCATTCTTTACCTTAGTTGTACATGAAGTACATTTTAGAATTTAGGCTCCTTTATTTGTTTGTTTTTTTATAAAAAAAAAAAAAAGAACAATAATAATAATAAATTTATAAAGCGCCTTTCAAGACACCCAAGGACACGTTACAATAGGATAAAACACATAATGGAAAAATGACAAACTGAAGAACAATAAAACAAAAGCACAATTAGGCTTAACGTAGCCGTGCTGCTCTTGACCTCTGGTAATATTTGTGTATCAGCGACATGGAGAAGCAGAAGTCGTCCCTGCTCGACGCTCTGTGCAGGAAGGGCTGCGCTCTTGCCGACCAGCTCCTCCTGCCCCCCTCGTCGCAGGATGGCGCCGGGGCTGTCGCCACGGGGCAGACGGTGGCTGAAGAGCCTGCAGAGGAGGCGGCCAGCAGCTCTGATGACATCCTGCAGAACATTTCCAAAGCCCTGATGGATACATTCTGGGAGGTGCAGAAGTGGGCGGAGCTAACTGAGTCCAAGGTAAGAGAAGTCAAATTGGTGTTTGTTTGTTTTGGGTTTTTTGTTTTTTTTTGTTTTTTTTTTAAGATTTGGGGTCATGGCTAAAGTTTTCTTTCTGTGTTTCTTTGCCTTGGCTGCTCAGGTGTTGATGTTTTCATATAAACACGCTCTGGTGAACAAGATGTACGGGCGGGCTTTAAAATACGCCTCAAAGATGGTGGAGGAGAAGCCCAGCAAAGAAAACATGAAGAACTCCATCCAGGTACGGCAGCAGTGACGGCCAGCACATGATGACGTCTTTTTCACTGCAGTGATTTTTAATTATTCTTTTTTTTTTTCTGTTTCTCGTTCCTCAGCTCATGCGTCACCTCGGATGGACACACTGCGCTGCTTTCAGCGAGAACTGGCTCCCCGTCATGTACCCCGCCGACTACACGCTGTTCTAGGCAACGGCGCGCACACACCTGCATGCACGCTCGGGCAGCACAGCCACCCACGGTCCCATCACATGACAACTACGATATCATGTCCCTCAGGGTCACATGGTCTATGCATTCAACCAACCAGCTGCCTCCTCAGATTTTTTTTTTTTTTTTTTTTTTTTTTTTTTTTTTAAATGTAATTGTTGATGAACACCAAATAAATGATGACGGCGAGCGTAAGTGGAGGGATCATGCTCATCCTGAAGTTACCTTTAAACATGTTGTCGAGCAGCCTCGGCTGTTCAGCAAGAAAAACAACCAATAAATGAGTTTTTAAGAGCTCTGAACTCTCTCGAGGGTGGGCTTGATCCTGCAGCTCAGTCGTCGTCCTTTATTTTGCTGTCATCCACAGATTTTTGGAGGCGTTCACATCCACCCCATTCTCAGCTGTCTGGACTTCATTTCACATGAAAAACCTCATTGTCTGGTGTAAATACTGTAAAAAAAACAAAACAAAAGGGCCACGACCCGGTTTATTAGCGAAGAAAACAAACTGACTACTCAAAGCTTGCTGTTATACTTCAGAGAGAAGACGGAGGACTCGCTGCTGCACACGTGCAGACACACGGCGCCTGATCCTTGAGTTAAAAGGGAGTCACAGACAGAGCTCAATCTCCCTTTTTTCTTTTCTTTTGATTGTCCAGCCCGCCTGGGTTAAAGCTACCATTTATTCTTGTCTGTCTCAGAACACACAACAGTTTTGAGGTGCCTTTCTTCATGTACCTTGACCTTTTCTGATGGGATGAAACACAGGTCGTAGGGGGAGGATTTGACCACAGGAGGCGCTCATCCGCTTTCACCCATCAACCTTCAGTGGTGTCGACGGATGCGTCGAAGCTCGTATCAGCAGCGCGACGAGCCGCGTGCTCGCTGCGTCACCGCCGCCTTCGACAACCACCTAAAACAGACCTCACTAACGTCACGATGCAGTCGCGGGCAGCGGTAGGATGTTCGGATCTGGTTTCATCGTAAAACTTTCACACAGTGTTAAGACGAGTTTCTGTGCAGCAGTCACGGCGTTGCACATGTACACAGTGTCATAAAATAATGTACATACACTCATAACTTACAGTATATTAAGATGCAATAGGTATATAACACAAAAATATTCTAATCGATGTGTTTTGAGTATATGCATGTCTTCTAGGATGTAAGGAAGCATAGTTTTGTGGAAGCAGATTTTCAGTTTCTATTTGAATGATTTTTAATCGCTGACGGTATCCTCTGATGTTGTTTTCATGTGTGCGTGTCTGTGAGTGAATATTATTTGTGAGGGTGTTTTTGTGTACATCGACATTTCTCCCAGCGAGACTGTAACGAAAGCCATTTAGAGGGGAGCTGAGCATAAGTTTTGTTTTTTGCTTTTGAGGACTAACACAGTGCTTTTGTCCAATTTATCTAATTTACACAGACCTTAAATTACAGCTTCTGCAAGTTGTGATTTTTGTTTTTGTTTTTTTTCTTTGAACTTAATAGGTCTGGACATTTGCCATGTGCCACATGTTTCTCTACTCAAAATAATCCAGGCGAGGTTGGTGCCTGAGTAGAGCTCAGAGTTTATGATACACAATGCTCATCTGCTGAAAAGTGCGTGTGTGAGAAGTGAGTGAGGTTTGCAGCTAATGTACATTTTATTTTCCTCTCCTCCTTACCTTGGAATGGGCGCGGCTCTGAGGCTTTGTGCATGCTTTTTCTTCATGTAGTGACGATGTGATGTGTAAATGGTCGACGCTGCCGTGTGCAAGCATAGGAAAACGGTGTAGATGGAAAAAATGCTTCTAAAAATAGACAAACCTCACAACATGCTTCTGAAAGCTGTTCAGCAAAAATTCAAAGGGTTGTATTTAAGGGTGTATCTAACATGGACAGATCTCCCCCCTCCCTTTTTTTTCTTTAAATCCATAAAACTTAAAGTATGATTTCTGTTTCATCACTTTAACCAAAGAACGATTTTCCACGTTAAGCTGTTTAATCATCGCTGCATGTATGAAGGCATAAACCATATCGGAGAGGAGGTGGTGGTGGTGTCACGCCCCACGTGTGAAGATGAACCCTCACCCTCCGGTGTGGATTTTGTGACTGTTTATGGTCTCATCTTTCCCTGATGTTGTTTTAAGACCTCTCTCAAGTGGAAGGTCCATGCCTACGAATGTAAAAGCAGCTGCTTTCGAGCCTCTTGTCCTCAAGGGGAGCAGAAAAATCTCTTCTGGGGGTGAATCGGTGGTCACAAATCATTCTTCTGTTTTTAGCTTCTCAGCAGCAGTCTCAGGTTTCTCTGCTGGAATCCATTTTTCTTTTTTTAAATCTTCTCTTTTCTCCTTTTTCTGGAGTTTTGGATTGTTTTTCAGACAGATGTTGCGTTCAGGGCTCTGCTATCAACAATTACACGCTGCCAATGACAGTTTCACTTTTAAAATAATTTTAAAAAGGCCTTAACGTTCACCACAGGACTTTACCGTCCACTTCATGGCACCAAACAGACGTCTCATATCCGTTGCTCTCACTCTGCTGGTGTCGAGAAAGACTTCAGAAAAGCTTCTTACGGTTGTGTTTATATTTATAGTCATAAAATCTAGTAAATGCCAATATTTTATCAAATGTTACGAGATAAGGTTATATGCTCTTAGTATTATTTTATACCTATTCTTCCTTGATGACGTGGGAAAGACCCCGAGCTACTGTCACTATTTTGTGGTCACATGGAATAAGTCACAATCAGAAAAATGACACTGAATAAAAATATTTGGAAGAATTCACGTGTTCACTGAGCATCACTTGCACATACAGCAAAAGAGACTTAAAAACGGTACAGCTGACATGCCAAAAAAAGACATTTCATAGCTTCTTTATACTTAATGTAGAGGGCCGAGAGAGCCGAACATGAATAAAATAAATACTTAAAATTGGGGGAAAAAGTTCAATTTCAATTCACTTCATTTAAGCCATTTAATATTTTTTTCCTATTTTAATGACATTCTATTGACTAAATATTTGACTTGTTTGACATTTGTCTACTTCCAATTTTAATTAATCACAGTTCTTTAATGGTGTGTTTAATATAATTCCTTTTGGCACTTATGGCCCTCCATACCCCACAGCCCAGTGAGTCCTGTTCAGATGATTTGTTTTATCCCAAACACAGTATATTTAAGAGAAAATCTTTACATCTGAGAAGCTGCCTCTTATACTACCATCTGAGGAAAAAGATGGCTAAAAGTCATCTTAAAAGACAGTTCAAGTCTAAACAACAACAAAACCATCTGCATTAAACTGACTATTTATAGGCCTTCAAGGATAAAAAGTCTGATTTTTTGGGGGGAAAGTGAATATGTTAGGTTGTTGGGAAGCCGATCACCCATTAAAACCAGGGTATGTAGAAGAGCATCTCTGAACACACAGCATGTCAAACCTTGAAGCAGTAGCAGAAGACCACCACTACTCCTGTTGGCTAAGAACAGGAAACTGAGGCTACTCACATGGATTCACCAAAATTGGACAACAGAAGATTGTAAAAACGTCTGGATTTCTGCTGTGATGTTTAGGGTCAAAATGAGATGTAAACAACATGAATCCTACTTTGGATCAATGGTTTAAGCTAGTGGTGGTGTAATGGTGTGGAGGATATTTTTAACAGCACAACTTAAGTATTGACTCTTTATGACCACAGTGTACCTGTCTTCTGATGTTAACTTCTATCGGGATAATCCACAATGTCCCAAAGCTCAAATAGTTGCAGAGTGGTTGTTGTTAACATGGAACAAAATCTCTGAGACGTGTTTAAATCTATCCCATGAAGAATTAAAGCAGTTCTGACGAAAAAAAAAGTGGGTCCAACCCAGTAATAAAGTGGTAGGTAAGTGTGTATTGACTCTATTTAAGTATTAATTACAAAATATGAGTATAGAGTGTTGGGGGATGTAATATAACTCTACAAAAGTGTACAGGATGTGTGTTATCAGCATGATATAGAAAATTTTCCTATATGAAGGTTATTGTCAACCAGTGTAACACGCACCCCCGAGAAAGTGTCTAATGAGTCTAGAAAGGACTGCACCATAGAAGGCAGATGATTTTCACAACACATTTTCAGCATCCTTGAATTTGGTATCCGAACATTTGTTTAGCAAACGTCACTGCCACAGCAGATCCAAACTCACACTCATCTCCTCAGATTTTTCTTTTATCCCCCACCAACATGTATAAAACAGCAGGTAACAAATTTTAGTTCAAGCTCATAGCAGCATTAGTAAACACTGGATCATTTCAATGGATCCATTTGAGTTGCTGGCAATTCGTACACTTCAATGGCTTATCCCATGGGAGTGTCTCAGGAAATCTATCCACACCTCTTTGGCCTTTCAGTCTCTACTTGTTGCCATGAAGATCTTCATCTCTCCATCCTCGGCCAATAAGCTTGTGTTAAAGGCCTTTTTAAAGTTCTCAGTGAAAGTCAAGTCAGACTCAAACCTGACCTTGTTGGCCCAGATTAGAGTTGTTCCCGGTTTGCAGAAATGCTTCATGGTGACCAGGAGCTCATCCAGGAAGTCATGATGGTAGACCACATCGGCTGCTAGCACGTAGTCGTAGCGGTAGACCGATGATGGGTAAGTGCGCTCCAGGTCATAGCCCCATGACAAAGTTGCTACCTGGGGCGTGTATCTGCAGTGGCCCCTGGTATTCCTGCACAAATTGACCCTCAGGTTGTTCAGGACCTCTGGTAGGTCTGTGGCTGTGACCCAGCCACCTGAAAGAGAAATAACAAAACATGTAGAACCTCGCAGCTCTCTGAAAACAGCTTCATCTCTGCCTATGTACCAAGGAGTGCTGCTACGACAGACACAAGGCCGGTTCCTGCTCCGATCTCCAGGACTGCTTTATCCACGAGATTGATCTGTTCTCGATGAGTGTCCAGGTAATGACAGAGAGCCAACCCCTGAGGACATATGTACATATTTAATCTTCTCTTTATAATTAGCAAACCCTGTTCGATTTAGTTAATGTCAGCCTGTTTGACAAAGCGAAATAGACTAAAACCTCTCAAAAAGTAACACATTGACATCTACCAGACTGGAAAGGTTACAAAGCTGTTTCTAAGGCTTTAGGACTCCAGTGAGCCACAATGAGAGCCATTATCCACAAATGGAGAAAACTCGGAGCAGTGCTCAACCTTCCTAGGAGTGGCCAGCCTACCAAAATTACCCCAAGAGTGCATCAACGACTCATTCAGGAGCCCCCCACCCCCAGAACAACCGAGAGCTGCAGGCCACACTTGCCTCAGTCCAGGTCAGAGTTCTTGATTTGACAATAAGAAAGAGACTGGGCAAAGATGGCATCAATGGGAGAGCTCCAAGGAGAAATCCACTATCAACCGAAGTTTAACTTTTTACAACATTTGAATCCTGTTACCTTAAAGGTGATACAGAATTTCATAAAAGAAACATCATACCAACAGTCAAACATTCTGGTGATAGTGTGATAGTGCTTTGGAGTGTCAGGACAACTTCCTGTAACGGATAAAACCATGAATTCTGCTCTCTACCAGAAAAATCCTGAAGAAGAATGTCCAGCAATCAGTTCATGCCATAAAACACATTTCGGTTATGCAGCAGGACGATGAACTGCAAGACTCTATATCCATTACTTTTCTAAGCATCCTTTTTTGACTCCCTATATCAATTTTAAGCACTTTATATTCAAGTACAGAGTAGGATCATTCTTTCTCGATGATTCTGTCCCATATTCCTTCTGCAGCAAGCTCAAACATTCAGCCAGAGTCATTAAAAATTATTTTCAGCAACAAGAAGAACAAGGGGGACAGAGCATGTGTCTGACCCCCTTGTTCCAGCAACCAGCCTGCCAAGAACCTCAAAAATCTGTGGGCAGGGGTATCCAGAACTGGTGAGGTTGTTTTTTTGTTTTAGTGTTTACTGCAGTTGTTGAGGAGTAGAAGTACTGATGACATTTGTTTTGTATGTACCGCAAATTTCAGTGCAGCACTTCTCACAGCAGTTAATGTAAGTGATTAAAATACAAATTTCTTGCCAATATTTGAAGCACTTACATAAAAAAGTAACTAAAATTTTGACCCAATCAAATGGACTGCGTTATCTGATGAGTTCACCAAGTTTGTTGTGGAGATAATCCTTGTGAAATCTTCAGATTTCTTCACAGTTGTCACAAACACATTTCATGGATGCAAAGTCAGCTAGCTGAGCTTCTGTGTCCATCTGAGTGATGATGATGATGATGCAACGTGGTTGAAAACTTCACAAAAATATTTGATCAAAATGTCAAAGAAATACAGAAGGTCTGTGATACAAGACAGAAGCTGGTAATATTAGAGAAAATGATTGCATGCAAGCTTTCAAATCAGGGAAACAGTGCTACTCACTGCCGGCCATATCATGCCAGCATACGAGTCCAGAGCCTCTTGAATGATGATCTCCTGGCCGACATAGTTGTACACCTCTTTCCCAGCTCTGTAGAAGAAACATGGAGCCCAGGCTGGTCTCTGCTGCTTCCCTACAGATGACTGATCTGTTTGCGAATCATCTGAAAGATCTAAATGTCAGGTACTCTGATCTGATCTGAATCAAACACATAACCCACCAAGGGTTATCCTACCTTTGTCCTCCTCTTCACTTCCATTTGTCTCCTCATCTTCTTCTTCTTCTTCACTTCCCATATACATGGTTTCTTCCACAGAGGTTGTGGACAAAGTATCCATATAAAATGCTCTGCAATGTTAGACAGTTAACTGAGACATGAGTCCATGTAGGACTGTATGTTAAACAATCCTCTAAATATTGTAAGTGCCTCACATACCTTTTGCAAGCTTCAAATTTGAGAAAGATCTCAGGAGCCACCCGAATGCATCACAGAGACCTCGGACTGAGGTGTTATAGAGCATCCTCCAGGACACACCCATCATCATCACAAGGGCACGGTGATATTTTTAGAGCAGTACCCATGAGAAATAAACACAAGCAATATCCCGGAGCAGAACACACGTAGAAGCAGACTCACACGGACATGCTACAAAGACGAGCCAAAGAGGAAGCCAAAAGGAGAGAGAGAGACAGAATGATATCAGCAGGCTGAGGGTGGGGTGGGGGGGTTTGTTGTCACCGGTACTTTTTGACTTCTCAAAGCTGGAACTTTGCAAAAACCTGCACGGTCTGTAACACCATACCCAGATGTATTAGGAATTCATGTTAAACCTGTAGAAGCTGGTATTTTTCTAACTTTTAAAGTTAAGAGATAACTTTACATTAACTTGAACACCACCGTGAGTTCAAATCAGTCCACATATCGTTTATTGCGATAGTAAGTAGTCTAAAAAAAGTGGAGACACATGGGGCCAAGAGGGGAATCAAGGCCAATACATAATTTATGCTTGGCTTGAAGGCATCTTGGCAGAGAGCTCCCAAGTTTGTGTTGTTTCAATTAATGCCTGCTGTTAGGCAGTCAACAACTGTAACTCCTGCATAAGGAGGAAGAAAAAAGAGAGAGACCAGAAATAACAACATGAAACATGCCTGAATGGAGGACATCAGCATTATGTCCATTAAAAAGCTTTTAATAATTTTGTATACGCCTTTTAATTAGTAATTAAAGGGATGATCACCATGTTTCCTCAAGAGGTCAAAGCTCAAGCAGCACTTCTATTTCTTGATCGTTCACGTCTCCTGCAATCACCTGCTTTTGCAGATGAAAATGTGGTCTCGTCTATTTAAAAAAGTGACGTGTGTAACGTGGAACATGTCCATGTTGTGCCTGCTTTTCCTGCAATGCCCTCAACTGCTTCACCAGAGATGTAACAGGATCAGCCCGGCATGCAGCCCCCGAGAAAAGAAGCAAGCTTCAGTAATATAAACCTCAGTTAGACCACCCTCAGTTGCATGAAGTACCACCTCCCCACCCTCCAGTTTCACCTATCGTCCAGCTAAATCCACTCACATCCTAAAACACGAATCCATCCAGGACCTTGGGATGCTTTGACACATTAATAGAAAGCATGCAGTGGTTAAGTCATTGCCCGGTTGTGCTACCGATGCCAAGCAGCCTTATGTGGATAAAAGATGGGAGTTTTTAAGCTCGATGACAGGCACCACAAGTCCACATTAATCTTCAGCTGTTGAGTATTTGTTTTTCTTAATGGTGGCTGTGACATTTACTGACACCAGCTTAGATAGCTGCTTTGTTAAACAGATCTTCACCTCTCCTCTACCTCCGCAGCCAAACTGCGCATATGCTCTGAGCTGGCAGAAAGAAGAGGAACGACCGGACAGAAATGAGCCAAGATGTGTCGGAAGATTTGGAATCAAAAATTAGGCATCAGATTTTATAGGTCACATGAATAGAAAGTGACGGGAACCTTCCTTTTCCAAAGCAGCTAATGAGGCTCATTGGGGAGTTTCCAAAACACAAAAAAATGTGTGCCTAGTATGTACTGCCCAGTATGGTTGTGATCTTTCATTTGACCTCCTGAAGTTGTTTGCTGGTGAAAAATTACCTGCAATTCACTGTAAACTTAAAAAAATAAAAAAAATGTTTAAAGTTTAATATTTAATGTTTTTGGGTGCAGGAGAAGAACCCAGAATCACCACCACCAGCCTGATACAAGACCATGCTCCAATGCTGTTCATGCCAAATTCTCATTCTCACCATCCAGCAGAAATGCAACTCATCAAACCAGGCAACATTTTTCTTCTGTTGCCCAATTTTGGAGAGCCCCTGCAAATTGTAGACTCAGTTTCCTGTTCTTAGCTGACAGGAGTGGCACTCAGTGTGATTTTCCACTGCTTCGAGGTTTGATGTGCTGTGCATTCAGAGATGCTCTTTTGCATATGCTGGTTGTAACAAGTGGTTATTGGACTTACCTACGGGTACACACCTTGGTTTCATCTGTTCAAAGGACATCGTTCATACCCAATTTTGCAAACCTAAGCTATGTTATCATGAAGAGGCTTTCTCCTGCAGTTCTTCCAAGCATACTTCTTCAGTCTTTTTTAAATTGTACTTTCATGAACTTCAACATTAAACGTGCCAGCTGAGGCCTGTAGAACCACCTTGGCTTGTTTGCAGTCTCACACACACACAAGGTGCAGCCCCTTTCATATAGTCTTGATGAGTTCATATTTTTATTTAAATTTTCAAAGAAATAACTTTCATAGCAGCTAATTTTCAATCTAAAAAAGTTTAAAATAGAAAACATTAAAAACAAAAACAAAAAAAGGAGGTAAAGGTTGCAGTTTTCTATCATTTAATCCCAAAAATATAAAGCCTGACCTGAGGATGGTGATAGAGAACAAGTTGCATCCCCCTTCCTCATGGTCCCCAGAAGATATTTTATACAAGAACCATTAGTGTGTGTAATTTTATTAACCTTTAAACAGTCCGAGACACAGATGTGTGCTTCTCCAGTCCTTCCAGCAGTGATAAAACCTGATCGCACTGCACACATGAAGTCACATAGCAAAAGACCTCTTATTGAAAATCTCTGGGTTGTCAGAAACATTATTTCCCACATCACCAGTGCTGTGAGAAGACTGGATATGAGCAACGTGACCCTCAGAGGCTCGACTGAGCAAAAACACAAACACACACAGTAAACCCATCCAGTTCCTTCAGTGTTTAGCAGCCTCTCTGAGGTCCTTGGTCGTGCTGTCCCTCCTCCAGGCTCGGTACAGCTTGATACTCAGACTGGGAAGGTCGTACAGCTCCTCTAAGTGAAAACACTGCCGGAAGCGATCCACGAAGCTGTTCTCTGGATCCAGGCGGAAACGCATAGCCCACAAGATCTGAGTGTTTTCCTGGCACAGGTATTCAAAGGTGTCCATCAGCTCCTGTAGGTAAGGGTGGGCGTACACCACGTCAGCTGCCAGGATGTAGTCGAAGCGATGAGTGGCACATGGGAAACGCTGATCCAACTCCTGACCCCAGATCAGCTCAGTGACCTGAAAGCAGAGGTGGGTGGGTTGATTTACACACACACTTTCAATCTTTAACTCTTATGGTGATACTCCTGAATGTGACGCTTTAAAATATAAAACCCACTAGAGGGGTGTACTTGCACCGGCCCTTGGTGTTACGCGTCACATTGTACTGGAGATTCCCCAACACATCAGGTAGGTCAGTGGAGGTCACCTTAGCACCTGGAGAGACAGTAAAAGTAAAATTGAGGAATAACTATGGAGGAAGAGAAAAATAACTTAACAAGATTAAATCTAATCACTGGCTTGTGTGAGTACCTAACAGGCTGGACACGATGGTAACAAGCCCAGTTCCAGCTCCCAGTTCGATCACATTTTTGTCCAGCAGGTTGTATTTGTCTTGGTTGTTCTCCAAGAAGTGACAGAGCACCATGGCCTGTTAGAGGGAACCAAGTATATATTTTTTAAGTGACAGGGATCAAAATTATGAGCATACATCACATCTAAACTCAAGGACAATTTTTGGGCTCACTGAGGGCCAGAGCACAGCTCCATAGAGGTCTGTGGACTCTTTGATGAGGATCTCCAGACCAGAAAAGACGTATCCCTCCCAGACCTCGGGACCAGTAACAGGCGGGTGAAACTGCCGTGCCATTATGGCGCTGGCTAGTTCTGCATCCACAGCAGAACCTGCTTTGCAGGCATCTACAGAAGAGGCAGATATCATATTAACTGTGTTTATATAGAGATACTTCACAGTAAGGGAAAGCAGGATCATCAGACATGATGGACAAATTTTAGGTAAATTCTCTGATCTCATGTGTCTTTCTTCACTGGGATTACAACAGCAATTCCAAAAAAGATTAAATGCTTTGTAAAAATCCCCCAAACTCATATTGTATTCACAGTAGAACATAGAAAACATTTTAATGTTTTTTTTAGTAACATTGAACTATTCCATGAAAAATATGAGCTAATTTTGAATTTGAAAGCTACGGTACGGAGCCCCGCAAGGGACATGGGAGAAAAAAAATTACGATGAACTTTTGCGAGATCTCGCAAAACCTTTGCGAGATCCCAAGTTAGTTTTGCGAGATCTCACAAAAGTCCGGCTTAATTTTTTTTCTCCCATGTCCCTTGCGGGGCTCCGTACCGTACCGTAGAAAGCAGCATCACGTCTCAGAAAAGTGTGAATGGAGGCAACGAAAGGCTGGAAAAGCAAGTGGTACTAATAAGAAATAGATGGTGGGACATTTTGCGACTAATTAGGTGAATTTGCAACATGTTAGAAACTTTCTTAGAAAAGAAGTAAAGACAGGCCGATCACTGATTGGCAAGTGTGCAAATTTCAGATTAATGTTCCTAACATAAAATTGTGAGGACTTCTCATATCTCATCACCTGCAACATAATATTATCAAAAAAAAAGTCTGAAATCTGGAGAAATCTCTGTGCGCAGGGATCAAGACTGCAAAGGCAGCACTGTGCTGGACAGTACCCTCCAGGAAATGCTAGTTTTGTTAAAGGTCACCGGTTCATCTGACCATGTGTTGCAACATCCTCTTCTATGGAAATAAGGCTGCTGTGAGGTCTATTTTTTGTCATTTCCAGTGTGTTTGTTTTTTGTTGTGACTGGTCTTTGACACAAATTACTCTTAGATGTATCCGCTTTAGGCCCGTGACCTGAAATCCCATGTTACACATTACACATTTTCTAACCCATGAAATGAAAGCCAAGGGACAGAACAAAATCACTTGAATTACAATATATTTAAACCTTTCTTTTCTCCAATGACACACACACACACACACACACACACACACAAAAACATAAGCCAACTGCTCCATCTTTTATTCACTACAGAACTGTAGAAGCTCCAGCACAGGATGGCTGTTCTATGTGTGCAACACTGTGGCAGAGTGGGAGCAGAAATCCTACACTTTCATCTCACAGGCAATAATACAACAATAAGCAGAACTGCTGAAGTACTGGAGGTTTT